CTCTCTCTCTCTTTCTCTTCTTAGTCAAATTAGATATAGATTATACTTGTATATTCATCAATAGTAAAAATTTATAGTTCACGTTATATTTGTAATACTGATATTGAATATATGAACATAGTCAAATTCTCAAAGTTTCGTTTCTACCAATCATATAACAATCATATTGCGCAGGTACAACAGTGCGTGGTACGACGGGATCATAGTACAGCAGAAGCCACTGCTGCTAATAACGAGACGATGCTTTCAGCCACTCGTTCTGACCGCCTTCAAGTTTTACGTGATGTCCTTACCGAATTTAGGAAAGGTAAGTGAAGAATGCATGACATAGAATACGCGCGATGGTCGCGACGATCGAGAAATAAAGGATGTCTCGTCTTCTTAAGATACTTCAGTCGACGGTCACCTATTGCATGTTTCTAAGACAAGTCTAAGGACAATGCCGTCGCGCGTAAAAGCGACGATGGACACGCGAGGAAATGTCCTTACGTTTCAGCGTCGAATGTTCCCCTTTGCGCGACTAGAGAGAAAGAGAGATCATAGACGCATTTCTTAGGTAAGTAGCTACGTTATGAATGCGAGATGCGGTGAATGAAAAATTTCAATACGCGGCATAAATACTAACGCAGTACGTCAATCTGTTTTAGAGCGTGATATTGTAACAAAAACATTTAAAAGATGGCATGAACAAGAGGCAAGTCGACGCAAATGCGAGAACAAGCTCGCTCAAGTCTTATGCAATTAGTGTTCCAGTAATAAAGTAGCTCATCAAGTTAAACACAGTTTCAATAAACTCTGGCGTAGTTTTCCTCGTTAATAATCATCCAGAAATGCGTGCGACAACCATTTTGAATACAATAATTAGTTTGATTCAGCATTATTTATTCGCAATTATATTTCTATACTAACAAAAAAATTAGTTTAATTTTAATAAATATATTTTTTTTAACTAGATTTATTTAATTTAACGAAATAATGTTGAAATATAAGAATTGTTTATTTGATTTTAATAAATTGAAACATTAAAATTAGAAAATGACTTATTTTTTAAAGATTTACTTCTATTTGAATCAGGCTTAGAATATATTATAATACGTATAATATTCGTTAAAATCTAGTAGAAATGTGAAGTTTTTAAATATTGAACCTGAATCTTTTAATCTTAAAAAAGACATTTTAATAAATATTTGTTTAAATTTATGTTTTTAAATTGTCGAAAATAAAAAATAGTAAATATTTTTCAATATATTCCTCTGTACGCGTCCCGATATTTATTGCCAGTACTGAGAATCTACTGTTCATGATACGTATAAATTTTTAGTAGCAATTTGGCAGCAAATATCAGAACGCAGCCATAGATTCCAATATAATATAAGCGAACTTTTATCGCCGGCCCTAAGAAGAATCGAAGATTTATCCGATGAAATTTTTCTTTAATAACACGATATAGTACACGCATCTCTAACAGAAAAGGTATATCTGGTCGACTGCCGTGTCGCAAATTTACTATTTTATCCTGTGCAGTAAGAAGCCTCAGTACATTTTTTCAACTGCTGAATTTACCCAATTATGCTATTCTACTGTACAAAATAAAAAGGCTCAGTACTTTTTTCAATTACTGACTTTTCTTGCTCATCCCTCGCCATTTCGTTGCGCGATAAAAATCAATCGGCAAGAGTTTCGTCGAAGTGGTAAAGTAATCACGCAAAGCGGGGTGAGTAATTGCCGTTCGCGCGCCCCGGATGTTTCCTTTCTCATGTTATTATTTACAATATATACATCCATGCCATCGATCGAAGCCATCGAGGCTCTAAAAATTTTTTCGTTCCCTCCTTAAATATATGCGTTTTTCCTCGGCATAATATCGTTCGGTAATGTCGCGAAGATGCGAGAGAAAATACAGGTAGTCAAATAATCATGTGGGGATCGAAAAGAGTCGAGCGAATTATCGCGAAGAAGCTTTGAACGATTGCAATCCGTCGCTACCACGCTCAGTTTGCCTGTGCACTTCGAGATAAATGGAATCCCATCCCGAAGAGCATTACTATAAGCTAAACCGACTTTTACTAGTGGCTACTGGACTATGGCCTTATCAGAGCATAAAGGATGCTCGTGTGAAGAGAGCCTTGATCACAGTTGTGATGTTAACATCTTTGTTCGTTCAGGTAGGCACGAATTTTGGAGAAGTGTGCATTATTTGTCGTTATTCGAATTTGTCGATTATCTTATACGAGTAACGTCATTCATTAATCGAGAGACTGCCCAGGTTGTAAAAATTCTTGGTTGTGCGAGAGCTTTCATTTCATTTTTATTTTGAACTGGATGTTCGGAAGATATATGAAGAAATACACAGAAATACTCAGAAATATTTAGAAATATTAAATTAAATATTAAAATATTTACATAATCGTGTACATTAATATCTACTGTAATTATCGTTTGTTGTATCTTTCTCTAATTAATTGTAAAGCGTTTTGACTGCATTTCTTCAGATGGCAAGCGTTTTTACATCAGAGATTACAATAGATTACTTGGTTGAACTGTTACCAATTCTTGTGCCCACATTCGGGACATTGATTCACTTGTATATGCGTGTTATACATATGAACAAAGTAAGTTCAGTCCATATACATTTCATTTACAGTAATTACTTGATTTATGAATAATGCGTTTTATAAGCCTAATAAAATCGAATTTAATTTAAAAGTCAAATTGAACTTTTCGATTTTAATTAAACCAATATTTACTTACATGATGTTTTTCTAATAATATAATTTCTTTCTATAATTTTATAATGTATTTATCACGTGCACGTTCACATATCGTTTTACTTTCATTTAGCTTAGGAAAATTTTCGAACATATGTGGAAAGACTGGGCGTTGCAAAAGACAGATGACGAAGTGAAAATCATGCACAAATATGCCGAAACTTCGAGATTAATGTCGTTTTATTTCACGCGTAAGAGAAATACTAAATTTCGCTTTATTTACAAGAGAAAAAGGCACGCTGCTTCTCTTCTGTCCATAAAGTTAAGATTGCATTTCTGCATGTGAAAAACACAATGACGTCTTCTTCATTATCAACTTTTGCATATATTGCTTTCAACGAATAACATGCAATACTTCACTTTGATGATCTCATCTTTATAATACATTCACTAAAATCGGTATCATTAAATTAAATAGATGTAGTATTTCCTCAGGGTGTTACTTGACATAGTGCTGAATTTACTATCGACATTATCCTTAAATTCCTTTTCGTATTTTTTTCATGCTAATTGTTTAATTTCCTTTTTTAAATATTTTAAATAATTAAATATGATTCCCAAAATTTTACGTCGCATGCGTCAACATTACTTTACCAAGCAGAATTTACGAATTTTACATTTATACATATAATGAAGAAATAAAGACCGTACGTATACCAGTAATTGTATTCACCTTTCTATGTCACTTATGTGCAGTATTTTAATCTAATTCGAATTCCTTGAATCCCTCTTGCTGACGTCTAAGGATTTGTTCGAAAACGTCAAAGATTAACATGTCCCTTATCTTAGTACACGTTTTAGAAATTTATTAATCTTTGGGATAGCATATTCGAAAAAAATAAAAGGAAGGGAGATAGCCCATAATTTAAATATCAATACTTAATTTTGGAATCAAACATTAAGTATTGCGTTAAAATTGCGTTTCTATTCATGCAATTTATTTAAAAGAATGCGCACACACACATAAGTGTTGTGTATATAGTCTTAACAGTTATATTAAATTTACAAATATTTTGTTAAAAATACATTTTGGTTAGGAAATTTACGTTCTCTACGAACATTTCAGTCCAGTTATTTGGGAGTGGCCTGATACTCATGGCATATTTGTATATGTCGGAAATTCTTAATATTATATCGCCTATGAACGTGTCCCGTCTACCAAAAATTTACTTAAAAATACATTATATTGTCCCTATGGAACAACACATTTCCCTCGTACGATTACACATATTCGTCGTGATGTTTGTCATGGCGATAGTCTTCATGTCTAGTTTCACCTTACTTGTGGCTGTTACGCAACATGGTTGTGGGATGTACGAATTGCTCGGGTAAGATATCTCTTCGCACTTAATTGCTATTTGCAAAGAAGCAGACGAATCGTGGTACTCATTAATGAATAGAATGCTCCATCACTCATCCATTAATTGTTCTCTCAAATACGTATAAACGGTAGTACAGCGAATAGGATATTAGAATTATGCAGCTCTTTAGTTTCTTGATTGGTTTCTCGCGGATAACAATCCATTTTCTCTACTTGCATTTACCGCAAGAGAAATATCGTTTGAATAAGCTTGATCAATACAATGAGAATAATGTTGATTTAACGGTGAATAATGGTAATTTTGGCAGGTATCGTGCAGAGCGCCTATTTTACGTCAACCAGAATAAGGTGAACCACGATTTAAGTAACAGGACAAAATTAATTTACAAGAACATGGTCGTTTTCGTGCGGCTACATCACAATGTTATACAGTTCGTATTTTTATTTGATGCACGCGTGTTATCTTTGATTAATGTGGCATTGATATTTCCTTTTTCTTTCTTTGTTGAGCAATCTATGTGATACAATAAAATATCGTCCAGAGTAAACGAATAAAAAAACTAGCTAAAACGATAACTGATCGATACAGATCGATCTTGCGTTATTCTTAATCAATAAAGATCTCTTTATTATTAAGTCAAAATAACATTACATTTCTTTTTTATCATCACGTCAATGTCCAAGTAATGTAAATTTAGTAACACGTGGAGTGCCGCACATATCCCATTAGATATTTTAATTATACGACCGGAAATGAGTCATATTTAAATAATGTCGGAATTATTAACATACGCCATTTTTTCCCACGTTGCAAGATTCGTTGATATAATCGAACACGTACACACTCAACTATTTCTATTGGACTTATTCGCACTGGTGATTATATTGAGCTTTACGTTAACGCAGGTATGTTGATAACGGAATTGTATCGATAAAACATAACAATATGTCGAAACGAGATCTTTCAGGTACTTTCCGTTTCTGCTAACATAGCTCGAGCAAGTAGATCCATTATTTTCATTACTCCATCATTATTGTATATCTCTCTATGTAATTATTTTGGACAGCAAATCACAGACAAAAGCTCGAATTTATATGACAAGGTGTGAGTATAATATTCCTCGATAGGTGTAATTATTAGTCGCTTTTTATTAAAAATATTCAACATGACATAAGAGTTCTAAATTCTACGTCAGATATAATTATTAAATTTGCTATAAAAAATTATAAATTTATTATGTAAAAATGTTACATTGTTATAGGCCGTTGTAAATAATGTCCTATACGTTATATCTTTACAAATAATATTCTCTCTCTTTCTCTCTTTCTCTCTTTCTTATATCTTTACAAATAATATTCTCTCTCTCTCTCTCTCTATCTCTCTCTCTCTCTCTCTCCTTTTTAGTCGAATTAGATATCTTCTCCATGATTCTGATTTATACCGTTCGATTCCATCGCTCGTAAAATAATAACCGTATTGCACAGGTACAACAGTGAATGGTACGATGCGATAGTCGCGCAGCAAAAACTATTATTGTTAATAATGAGCCGATGCTTTCAACCATTTGTCCTGACCGCCTGCAAGTTTTACGTGACATCCTTACCGAATTTAGAAAAGGTAAGTGAAGGACGTGTGGCGTACGACACGCGTGATGTTCGTGGCGACTTAGCAACAAACGATGTCTCGTCTTTTTAAGATACTTCAGACAACAATCGGCTATTGCATGTTTATCAAGCAAATTTAAGGATGATTCCATCGCTTGTTGAAGCGACATCGAACATGCGAAAAAATATTATTAAGTTTTAGTAATTTTTTCGTTTTGCCGAATGTTTCTATTTGCGCATCGAGGAAGAGAGAGGAGTGATTAACATACTTTGCAGGCAAGTAAGTACAGTATAAATATGAGATGTAACATATGAGATGGATTTCAATACGCGACATGCTGACACAGCATGTCGGTCTATTTTAGAGCGTGATATTATAGCAAAACACATTTAGCACGACGGTGTAAACCTGAAATGAAGCGACTCAAAAGCGGAGTTTAGCTCATTCAAATGTAGTGCAATTATTGTTCCAGTAAAGTTAGTTTATAAAATTACACACACATTAGTTTCAAGAATCCCACAATCATAATTTCCTCCGTTGATAATCTCCCAGAAATTCGTGCGATGACTGTTTTATTCGTAATTTGCTCGACTCAGCGTTATTTGTTCGCAATTATATTTCTATTTCTATTTCTAGTTCAATTCCGTACCGAACATTGTTGAGATATAGGTGCGACTGGCATTACCCACTGACCGATATTACCCTGTTCTCTCCTACTATACGAGGTGTGTTCATAAAATAACGGGAATTTTTAAATTTCGCGG